TTTTCCCCATTTAGCATTTATTCATTGCATGTCATCGACCTATCGTGTTTACCATATGCAGTTGTATGATTAAACTAGGGTTTGGAAACTTAATTTGGAGATTACCCGCTTCAAGATAATCTGAAGCAAATTAAAGACCCGAACTCAAAAAACAAAGCCTTTCTTTAAATCTGCCTGTAAGAGAGGAATGAGTTGATTATGACTTGAATAACTTACAGTTAAAAGTGTGGTTTTCTTTTTGTTCCATTCCTTTGGTGTGCTGAAGTAATGTGATCACATTTATAACTTTGAATGGGGTTGAGGGATGGTTATGCATATTCAGCCACTGCTAATGGATGTTGTAAAAGCACAGGTGGAAACGGTTAATTCTCTTTCTGGTCTTAGTCAGAAAAAGTTAAACTTTGTTCGATCTTGTCTTATCAAGTTTCTAAAGCTTGATCTAAACAAAAAAGTTCCGCATGTGCCTTTTATTGTTTTACCTATTCAGTATTGCCACAAAGGCAGCATTTGCAGCCATCATCTTCTTACTTCTCACACTGGCTTAACCACTAGTAAATATCTAACTAGTCATGAAAACTTTATGGCATGAATAGTTGGGAAGCATTTGTTTACATAAGGTAAAGAGAGGGTGTTACGGTAAAGCATATTAGCTTTTTACACTGATACAGTTATACGCATTAACATTGAACACTTCCAGTCCAAAGACGACAAAGCTTGCACTTAGACAATGTGATTTGAAACGTGGGAGTTAAACACTGCTACAGATGGCTCAGAAATTACTGGCTACTTCATGAAAGGAAGACTTTGAATTCAGGATTATCCTTATGTGCAGTGAATCATGTATTCTTAAGATTTTTTCTAGGTCTATCAAGCAGCTTAGTAAAACAGAGTTCCTGTAATGTGTTTCCTGTTATGCACAAGTCCTGGAAATGCTGAATTCTGACTTCACAGTTGCTGACAGGGTTACTTTCATTTCCACGAGAAAATCGTTGCAGATAGTGCTCTGTGGAGGGAAATGGAATGGTTGTTTGCATGGGGTTCTGTGGCTGCAGTTTACTTTGTATACAATTGCTCAGTCGTGGACTGCTCGTTATGGGCTTAAGCAAAGTGTTTCCTTGTATTTGGAGTCTTGCTTTCTTTTACAGCTTACTGTAAAGAGACAGCTGTGCTCTATCTAAGAGAGCTCTCTTATGGCAGCGTAAAATGAGAAACCAACAAGAACACCAGCTTCTGAGGAGAGAGTTCTGTTAGCTTGGAGGTGAAAGAAGTAAACTTTCACCTAATTAAATGGGGTAATTAAATGGGGTAGTTAAGTGGGGTCTGTATGAATAGAGGACCACTTCGATTTTGCATTCTCCTACGCAGTTTTGCGGTTATCTTCTTTTGAGAAACAATGGGGTCATTCTCCACAGATGGTATTTTACTCCCAAAATGAAATTCAGAATAGTTTTCAGACTGATCTGGAACTCTTTTGCACATGGTCTGAAAAAATACATTGCACATGACAAAAGAGTTTCCCCTTTTTTTGAGGTCTAGCTCGTAGAGGAATCTGCCTCTGATTTGATGGACAGTCTGTCTTAGCAGTGGGCGAGTGTCACTGCTCCTGAGCAGAAGTCACGACTCCTTCTGCTGTCTGTTGCGTTTATTTGTTTTCAAGACAGTTCAAGCTGGGATTCTACTGATCCTAGCTATTACTGTTGGCATCAGGAAGGAGCAGGTGGAAACATTTAATGAAGAAGAATTGGCTATACATACAGTTTTATGCAACATCTGCGCGGGTTGTTGAGGAAAAGCAAGCAAAGCGGAAACACTGTTGATGGCATGTATATGTGTGTATGCATGTAAGCATGTGGAGCATACATCCTTAGATTTTTGTTAACTGAGATACATTTGTTTCCTGTTAGCAGCAGCGTACACCTCCATTCTAAGCACAGAACTGTTGCTGTAATGCTCAGTACGTGAATATTCAGGCTCCGTTCTTAAAAAGAGCCACTAAATGAAGCGGTTGTGGGTAGGTCTTACAGCTTTCCTAAGGAGAACAATGTCTTCTCTATTCACTGAGATAGCATTCTTTATGTCACAGAGGTAAGAGTATGTCTGCAGATATAGTTAAAAGATATTATAATTAGAGAATTGTCTTCAGGTTAACTTTCAGAAGTCTTGAATATGTCACTTGTAATTAATCTAGCAGTTTCAAAGTCTAGGTGTTTGTGCTTATAGGTGGAGCCTGATATTGGTAAGACTTGCTGCGCCTGTATTTGCAAGTGGAAACATCTTTTGCTGTGTTTGACTTAAACCACATAGGACCTAGTCCTCCAAGGAGCCTGCTTTGGACTTGCTGCTTCTTTTAAACGATAGTAAACTTTTCATATAGACTCTTAGCCTCTGATGACTATTTATAATGCATAAAAGATGTGGCTTTTTTTTTTATAATTTAGGAAACTATTGCTGTTTTCTGTTGTGCTGTCAACTATTCATCGTGAAAGCAGGAACTGAATGAGGACTGATTAGAAACCTTTATTTAAGTGGAAAAACGAGTTTCCTCACATCTGTAGTTTAAACTTTATTTACGCTTAGGGAGCAAGTTCCTGATGGGAATTGGTTATTCTGGATCATGCAATTCTGCAAAGGTTGCAAAGTTTTATTTTTGATAGATTGTCAGCACTCAGGAAAGCTGCAGCCAAAGGTAGGGTCATGGCTGTGCTACCCTTCCTGTATTTCTAAACTCGCAGGAAATTTATGGAGTTGCAGTATAGGAAAGATGAAAAACATTGTGAACAGCTGTACTTAAATGTTAAGCAGCAGTCTGTGCAGCACCTTTTGTTCAATGTGTTGGTTTAGGTAGGAGGAAGGCATTAAAAGGAAAGAGAAAACATGCCACCATGGACGAATTCCAGCATGATGTCTTCTGGAGAATGTGCTTAGTACTTACTCATAAATGCTTACCTCCAAGTTTAGCATTATAACTGTTAAATTAGAATTTTGTTTTGTATTCTAATTGGAAATATCGACAAGATCTTAATTACAGAGGTATTCCAGTATTTTTGTAATGTGATGGCATTCGTTGGGATTTAGGTTTTGTAAATGCTCTAAGCTAATAAAGTACATATTAGTGTGCCAGTAATCAGAATTCTTCTGAGCTTCAAACTGCAAGAAAACGTAGTTAGATAAGGGTGAAACTGTTTACTTCTTGCAGGTGCGGGTATCTGGCTTCCTCAAAACTAATTAGCTTGTTTCCAGTTCTTACTTACGTTCCACAAGCACAAAGCATTTAAAAACCTGTTTGTGTAGTGCTTTATCTCTTACCATTAGTTACTCCATACAGTTTAATAAATTGCCGTGATTAGGCTGGTATTTGAAGAGCACATTTTCAAAAATGTCACATTTCCTACTAGCTGCTGTTCCTGACCTTTTATTTTTCTGACTTAAAAAAAGACACTCTATACATGGCTCTTAAAGTTGGTTATATTTTTTGAGTTCTCTCTTCTGCTTGCACTTTTCAGAGACTTCTCTAATTGCATTTATGCTAAACTGATCTGCATTTTGGTGAACATTTTCAGGTTACAGTTTACTGAAGCCTTAGGAACAGTCATTTTGTACGTGTTTATTCTTGTTGCTTCCTTGGCTTTTGCTTGTTTCCCCCAGTGCTTGGAAGAAGTAAGCAAAAAATCCCAGCTAGTAATCTGAATGAAATTACCTTTCAGTCATTTGCTGACTGTGAATCTGTGTAAATGTTTGGTGTCCTTTACGAGAACCTGCTGTGTTAATGATAAGATTGATGTGTGATCCGGTGCCATTGAGGCTGCTCAGACGTGGGCCTGCTGCTGCAAGGCTCCTCCGTCTGCCTGCGGCTGCTGCCACTTGCTCAGGCTGCCTGCTCCCCGCTGCTGCCTCCTCACTCCTACTTTTTCTGCGACAGCGCAGCTGATCACATCCTCCTCATGATCTGCATCACCGACCTTTATTTTTAGTTGCCAGCTTTATTTTTCAGCTGCGTAACTTCCCTGGTCTTAAGACTGTACTGATTTTGTTTCTGAACAAAAAGTACAGAAAAGATGGGAGAGATTTATGACCAGATCATGGGCTCCCTTTACTGGAAATATAGAGCTTCTGTTGAGAAAAGTCCAGGATTTTAGTTCAATCCTTCTTTCCTTTCCACTCTAAACATGCACGCAGCATTCCCAAGGGCATACTACTGTGTTTTTAGCAGCAGTGATATGGATCTGAGGCATTTGGGAGGGAGGAGGGGAATGGATAGTTGACAGGAAAAGTCTTATAGTTTCTGTGCTATTTTACCATGCCTTGCCTCGCCTTCCTTTTAATTCCTATTGTTGCTTTCTCCTGCTCAGGGGAAGTTCACTTAGTGCCAAAGGCGAAAAGCTGGCTCAGTTTACTAATCAGTGTTTAGGGCAGTGTCTCAGTTCTAACAGTGAGATATGTCTTATTGAGTGGAAAATAATTTAAATTTTAAAACTAAGCTTAAGGCAAAGAGAAGATATCCCTAAAATTGAAGAAATTTGTTATTTTTACTCATTTTTACAAAACAAACAAAAGCCTACAATGTGTGAAGAATTAAATAGGTGGAATACCATGTGATCCCAAAGTCTGAATTCTAGTTCTTGGGAAAATAATAAAGATATGGGAGAATGAAGAGGGTGCACAGTGTCAAGTATGTGTTTGATAAGATGGGAGTCAAAAGAATACAAGGTCTCTAGAAATAGAGAAAGGCTTTGAATACAGCCTAGAAATACTGGATTAAAGAGTTGTCATTAGAAAGGTTGCAGAAAGGCTGCTGAGGTTAATTTTGTTCATTTTACATGTGAGGGATTGAAAAGAACTAGCAACAGTTGGTAAGAAGCTGAACTGTTAGAAATCATTCAGAAATCATTCTGTTAATGAACATGCCGAGTTGTTAAAATACATAGGTTCTATGCTTGCATTCTGTGATTGCTTTAGCATTTTATGATTCATGGTTCTGCTTTCTTTTTATTAATCTTCAGGGGGAAAGGAACAATGGCTTTGACGTTCTCTATCATAACATGAAGCATGGACATTTGTCAACAAAAGAATTAGCAGACTTTATTAGAGAAAGGTAGGTATTCATCCTTGCTGACTCTGGGTCTTTATTATGTGGTTTGTGGCCTTTCAGTTCACTTTGTCATTACCTGTTGTTTTTGACCATGGATATTAGAACTAGATTTTTGGCAATTGCCGGTATGATCTTAAAAAATTGTCCTTTCAGGATTACAGTGCTAAGAAAGTAAATTCTATTCCCCTTCCTCTTCCCCTTCCCTTCTCCTTCCTTCTTTTTTGTTTTTTTCTTTGAAGCGGTGATATATTATGATAAAATATATGCAGAAAATAAAACAGATTCTTCTTTATGGGACAGAAGGGACAGGAATGAAATCTGCCCATGTGACAACTTCCTAAACAGATGAGCTAATGCTGTTTTCAGTCTTATTTTACAAAGAAGACTAACGACTGCTACTTAGGATACAAAAATTTCCATTCTGGAGGATCTGTCTGGTTCCAAATGTTGTCTTATTCAGTTACTGACACCAGATGGCATGTGGAAAAATCTTGTAAGAGGCTAGCTGAGAACTTCTTTTAGTAAAGGTTTCTTGCAGTAAGAGCTGTCCAAAATACGTCCTTTGTTTTCTGCAATTTGTCATCAAAATTCCAATTTCTGCCTGAAGTGACTGCAGAGAAATGTCACCACTATGCATCTGGCAGGTACTTAGTGACAGTGATATTTGCATAGTTTCACAGTGAGTTGTGGAGAAAATGACAAAAGACTTTCTGCTAAGAAGAAACCAGTGAACTTCCAAGGCCTTTTGTGAAGCTCCTGACCAAAGCTGTACACAAACCAAGGAATTTTGTGTGTTGAGAACCTCTTCATTCAGAAAATACATTATAAAGCCAGGGTTGTGGGGCAGCCTTACTTTAGAGAGATGTCAAACTGTGTGCTAATCATAGAATCATCATAGAATGGTCTAGGTTGGAACAGACATTTAAGATCAGCTAGTTCTAAACTGCTGCTATAGGCTGGGACACCTCTATAGACCAGGTTGCTCAGAGCCTCATCCAACCTGGCCTTTAATGCTTCCAGTGATGGGGCATCCACAGCCTCACTGGGCAACCTGTTCCAGTGTCTCACTACCCTCACAATAAAGAATTTCTTTTTGATAACTGGTCTATACCTACCCTCTTCATTTTAAGGCCATTTCTCCTTGTCCTGCTACAGCATATCCTTATGAAAAGTCCCTCCCCAGCTTTCCTGTAGGCCCCCTTCAGGTACTGGAAGGCTGTTATGAGGTCTCCCGGAACTTTCTCTTCTCCAGGCTGAAGAACACCGGCTCTCTCAGTCTGTCCTCGTAGGGGAGGTGCTCCAGCCTTCTGATCATCTTTGTGGTCTTCCTCTGGACCTGTTCCAACAGCTCCATGTCCTCTTCTGGTACTGTGGGCCCCAGAGCTGGACACAGTACTCCAGGTGGGGTCTCACTGCATAGTAGAGGGGCAGAATCACCTCCCTCAACCTATTGGTCACACTTCTTTTGATGCAGCCCAGGATACAATTGGCTTTATGGGCTGTAGGAGCACGTTTCTGGCTCATGTTACATTTTTCATCAACCAACACCTCCAAATCCTTCTCCTCAAATCTGCTCTCAATCCATTTCCCACCCAAACTGGATTTGTGCTTGAGAGTACCCCAACATAGGTGCAGGATCTCGCACTTGGTGTTGTTGAACTTAATGAGGTTGGCATGGGCCCTCCTCTCAAGCCTGTCCAGATCACTCTGGATGACATCCCTTCTCCCTAGTGTGTCACCTGTACCATTCAGCTTGGTGTCATCTGCAGACTTGCTGAGTGTGCATTCAGTGTCACTTAAAGGATATTGAAAAGTATCCCTGAGGAGCACCACTTGACACCAGTCTTCGCTTGGACCTTGAGCCACTGGCCACAACTCTCTGAGTTTAACCATCCAGCCAATTCCTTTGCCAGCAAGTGGTCTATTCATTGAAATCCATTTGATCTAGCTACCAGGATGTCATGCAGGACAATGTTAAAAGCTTTGCACAAGTGCAGGTAGATGATGTCAGTTGCTCTTCCATTGTCTTCTGATGCTTAGTATTAAATGTTTAGAGAGCCTGAAACTGAAATTTATGACATCTTCAGTCTACCTATGTGAAATGTTTTTCCTGTGAATTTACCAAAAATCATTCTTTTCTTTCTAAACTTCTTACCTTGCTTATGTTCTGTGTCTTTCTTTGTTGCAAAGTAGTTAAGAGATTTTGCATAGAATTATCTATTCCCTCCCTTCCTCTGCAGAATATAGAGTATTACTTCGCTGTTATCTTTTCTGCTAAAAATATGAAGACAGATGGGCAAGAGTCATTAGGTGCCTTCTGCACGTAGTGTTTTTATGCCTTGCTTGCCCCTGATTTTCTGGGCTCTTCCCTATGAAAACTGAACTTATACGTTTGTACTCTGTCCCTCCTTTTGAACATGTTAGCCAGTTTTATTCAAATGTGGAGAGACAGGAGTATGAAAACTGAAAATTCCTGGGTAATTCACAGATTGTGAATTACTGATGATACTTGTAATAACTTAAGTAGCTGACTGTTGTAAATATGTTAGAAATGTGCTCATTTCAAAGAATATGTATTTACTGTATCTGCTGTTAAAACCCTGTACGTTCCTAGGAACAAAATGTTTCCACCTTTGCTGGTTCCTGGACCTGGTGAGACACACTGGAAACTACTAAGACCTGTGTCTTGGACCACATCCATGTGGGCACTTCACTCGTCATTACAAATGCAACTCCAAGCTTGCTAGGGTTAGATAATTTTTCTAGGCTGTGTTTAGTTTATCTATACTAATTCACTTTTCAACACTGTTGTTTCATGGTTTCATTTTTCCTTTTGAGTATTTATTAGTGATGAAGTTGTTAAAGACTGGGTCAGTTGGATCTTTGGACAATTCTTTACTGTCTTTTGACCAAATATTCTGAAAATGTGAATGGGAAAGACTTACGTAATTAACAGTCACTGCTTTTGATGTGGTTCAGAAGTATGTCTGACAGAGTGAACTGTGCGGCAGGCAATCTGCTCACTGCTTCTAAATCTTGGATGGTGCAAGATATGTTTCTGCTGAAAGATAAATATCTTTGCTCTATTCTGATAAAGTGCATAAGCATTTTGCTTTTAAAGAAGTGATAACATACAAAGATTGTGTTGGCCCACAGTTTTCTTTTGTATAAAAATACGGATTTTATATGCAGGGAAGATTTGGTAGGTAAATTATCAATGGTGTTTGTGTGTATTTAGCACCTAAGATGTTTACATATAAGTTCAACTAAGAACTAAATAGGTATTGTGTTGGGTTTTCTTCAGAAGTCTTTCAAATGTTTTTCTGCACCAGCTGTCTATAAATGTAAAAAGAAGCTCCTTAATGGGAAGAAATTAGCAATGCTCCTATTCTCATTTCAGTTTAAATGCTTAAATATATCCCAAGCAAAGACAGATCTTTAAGATGTGAAAATTAATTTAAACAGGCATTCGTAGTCTGTTACTGTGAGAGAGAGCTTTAGGAAGTCAGTGGATACAACTGAAGATAAATGTGCCCCATTAGTCAGTAGCATCTTTTGGCTGTTAGCGTTTGTTATGTGCTGATAACACGTAGCAAGTTTCATAACTCCCAGCTTGTGAAGGTTGTTTGCTGAAGTATTCTGCTAGTTGTTCTGAAGGAAAGGAAAGAAAGTAAAAGCACTGAGCTGTTGTTGGTGATTTATCACCATTCATTATAGTAATTAAAAAACCATCAGTGCTTCGCTCGTGTCTGTATCACTGCTTGTTTCAGTGAGTGAAATTTACCAACATTTTCAGATCATCAAGAATACTTACATCTTTCTTACCAAGAATACTTACGTCTACTTACAGGAGGAGATGTTTTATTTCATATAGTGGATACATTCGTAGTTATTTGTGACAGAGATTTAAAATGTAGTTGAGTTGCTGCATTTTACAACTTCAGGATGGTTGCCTAACCGTTCAGCTTGTCATTTTAAAGTTCAGTAGTTTTAAGTACAGCCTTCAAAGTTTCAGATGTCTATTACTATTTTGTTTCATATGTTCGTAATCACTGAGTATTGAATTCGGGTGGAAAATTTAAGCAGTGTGTATGTTAATCTTAGTTAATAGGGTGGTGAGGAAAGGTGATGGCAGGAAGACTTGAAAGGAGTCACTGCTGTTACATGTTGGGTGACTACACTCCATGGCAATTGTGCCAGTAAAGGAGGAAATTGATATTGACTCCTGGATTTTGAATCTCCAAAAGACAAGTAAAAATATGGTTATGAGTGCAGGAAAACTGTAGCAAAAATTTTGTAGGGAGGAGATTGTCCTGAAGAAATCAGAATATGTCGAGATCATTCTTTAAAAAGTAAGCCTAAACAGTGGAACACAGTACATTTTGCTGCATATTAAATCACTGCTTCTCAAATTTAAAAGCCACTCTGCAAAGAACCTAAAAATACCAAAAAAAAAAAAAAAAAAAAGAAAAAAGCCTCCTAAAACTGTAAAGACAAGATAAGACTCCATTTATGATGATCAGATGCATTTGATCTTTTTGTTCTGTAAATGTCTAGTGTTAGGCACGTGATCATTATGTGACTTCGTTCTCACTGGTACCGAAGAATGTTAAAGACAGGAAGAAACACAGAGGATGTAAGAAGGAAAACGTTATATCTTGCAAGTCTCAGGTCCTTCAATTTTACTTATTTCAGTTCACTTCAATATTCTGTCACAGTGTTCTCAGATTTATTTTTGTTTGTTTGTTTACATACCTGGATGTTTCTGCATATAGTTTTTGAGGGATTGTTAAAATGGAGTAATTTTCAGCTGAAGGAGAAACTCCTATGTTTGGAATCTTTAGAATCCATGTTAGTCTGTCTTCAGATACCTTTAGAATTTAAATTATGCTTTTGATCATTTTCTTTGACAGGGCTACAATAGAGGAAGCATATTCAAGATCAATGACAAAACTTGCCAAATCAGCAAGCAATTACACACAGCTAGGGTAAGTGTATATGAAAGACAAATAGTTGTGTACGTGGTAAGAAGCCAGTTTGATTCTGAATATTTTATTGATGATGTTGAAGGCAGCACAACTTTGTCACCTTTAAAAATTATTGTTAGTCCTTCAGCTACTGTGCAACGATGCAAGATGTTGTGCAGCCGTGACAAGAACAAAACACAGTGCAGTTCTTTATTCACTGAGGAAAAAAAAAAAATTAAAAAGCCCTAACCAATCATAGAGAGGCTGTTTGCTCCTGTGTGTTCAGGGTTTCCAAGTTAAGTTCTTTTCAGACATAGTAAAGAACTTAATGTATGCTTCTAAACCAAATAATTTTGATGAGATAAAATTTTGTATTTGAGTTATGTTTTATGAAAGAATGAAATGGAATAATGGATGGGAAGTTTGCTTTTGTTGTTAGAAATATGAGCAATAGCTCAGACTTCCTAGATGAGAGGAAGTTTCTTTTTATTTGTAATAATCAGAGGTAGAATATGGAGTTATCAGAGAACAGTTTGGTGATTTGTTGCTGCTTTTTGAAAGTTCTCTGTCTGAGTTTGAATAGGAACATCATTGTTTTAAAGGCTATAAAATAGTACCAATTTTGCAGCAACTTTAGTCAGAAAACAGATAGGTACATTTTACCTTTATTGACTGTATAGAGTAAAAACCAGAAAGTACTGAAGTTATTAGATACTATGAAGGATGCTCCAAAATTAATGCTTCCTATTTTATCATGCTGGACAATGGCATTGGGGTGGATGTTGGTGGTATGGCAGTAGAGGGCTGAACCTTCCCACCTGTATTCTATTAGATTTTGCTGCTGTGTGACAGATGGCAGCACAGGGGCAATCCGTTGATGTTCATCAACACATACTGAAGATTTATAGAGACCAAACAATAGATGTGAGCACAGTGACTGGGGTGTTTCAGCAGTAGTGACAGTGGGTCACCGCTGCTGTTGCAGGTGTTGCAGGTGTATTTTTGCAAGTGTGGCCTTCAGGCTTTTGTTCATCACTGGTGAAAATGTGTAACTTACTATGGCAACTGTGTTGAAAGAGAGTGTTCTGTAATTTGCCCTCTCAAAAGATGTTTTTGTGCTCCTTGTATCTGTTGTAGTTTCCATGGGAATAAATCGGAAGTGTTACTTTCTGAGTGACCTACTGTACACCTGCAAGATTTAAAAACTACATAATTTATAGCATATAGTTGTTGTGTTTGTTTCAGTTTAGGAACACAATTTCTGTAAAAATATTCATTATGCTTTAGCACTATTAAGAAAAGTCTAGCTGATTTAAAAGAAAAAAATCCCAATGGGCATTAAATTTTTTTTTCTCAACCCAGAACATTTGCACCAGTTTGGGATGTTTTCAAAACCTCAACAGAAAAACTAGCAAGCTGCCACTTGGATCTTGTCCGGAGATTACAAGAGCTAATAAAAGAAGTTCATAAATATGGAGATGAACAAATTAAAGCTTATAAAAAGGTAATGGTTTTTGGTTTTTTTTTCCTCAAGCATGTCCAAAGATTTATAAGCACTGAAATTCAAATTATTTGTTTTTGACAACTGTGTAATATTTGGCAGACTAAGGAAGAAGTTTCAGGAACATTGGAAGCAGTGCAAAACATTCAAAGTATAACTCAGGCATTACAGAAGTCAAAGGAAAACTACAATGCAAAATGTCTTGAACAAGAACGTTTGAAAAAGGAAGGAGCAACACCGAGAGAAATTGATAAGGTAGTTATGTGACGTCTTTCTCAAAATTCATTATGTTGTCAATCTAATACATTCATGTCATATTAGCAAGTAAAATGCTCTGAAAGGGTTAAAAATAGGAAAACTATGATTATTTTATAATATGAGTACTTTGAATGCCTTTTTATGTTTTGTTTACACTTCCTTATCTGTTCTAACTTCACTGCAGTTCCAATTCTTTATTCTATGATTACCTGCATCATATAATAATTTTTCTTAGCATCCTTTACAGAAATTGCATATAGTTGTTTCATCATCTTTTACATTCTTGGATACGTTTTCTTAGACAAATATGCGAACTCAATGACTGTACTTGTTTTTGAATTGAGGAGTAGGAGCCTTTGTGTCCTTTCAACTGAGACCAAGTAGCTAATTATAGAAGTATTTGAAGTCTGTTCCATTGACAAGAAAAAACAAGCTAACGTTACTTTCAGAATTAATTTAAGTTACATGGACCAAAACCCCTATGGATGAATATCCTGGTGCTGTTTTTAGCTCTGTCCCTGTGTCATGGGAGAGTTTGATCCACACACAGAATCACTGAGCAGTTAAGGTTCAAAGAGACCTCTGAAGTCATCTGATCCAACCCTCCTGTTCAAGCAGGGACACCTGGACCCAGTAGCCCAGGACCATGTCTGGATGGCTTTTGAAGATCTCCAAGGAGAGGGTTCCACAATCTCTCTGAGCAACCTGTGCTGGTAGTCTGTCACTCACACAGCGTAGAAGTGTTTTCTGTGTTGCACTTTGTGCCTGTTGCTTCTTGCCCTGTGGCTGGGCACCACTGAAATGAGCCTTGCTCTGTCTGCTTTGCACCCTACCTTCATATACCCTGTTGAGATCCCATCCCCTTGAGCTTTCTCTTCTGTAGGCTGAGGAGCCGCATCTCTCTCATCCTATCATAGGACAACAGAATGGCTGAGGTTGGAAGGATCCCTTAGCTCCAGTATGTCTTGCACTGAAAGGCCCAGCACAGAACATAGCATTTCAGATGCAGCCTCACCAGTGCCGAGTAGAGGGTGGCGAGCACCTGCAGGGAACAATGAGACTTTTTGCTGTTTTAAGGAGACAAGGTAGTAGTAGACAAAAGTAGTTATGTTTCCCTGTCTCTGTGTCTTCTGTATCAACAGCCTTTTGCTGTTTCAGCTGTATGATCTGTATGAGAACCTGTTCTTAGTTAAATGATCTCAGTGCCTTTTGTCTGCTATCTTGGTGGAGCAGTAATGTTGGTTCACTGGTGACAAAAATTATCCAGTTGACCATCTTCTGATAGTTTTTATCTCTAATATAAACCTATTTTTTTCTCCTGGTTTGTTTTTTGAATGGCAGTCAGTGCTGGAATCTGGATATGAGTAAGCATTGTGTGAGACCGCCCATGTTTTCTTGCAGTCTTTTGAAAACGCAAGCAATTGCAAATAAATTGAAAATTTTCAGAAGGAAAAGTTGACTTGATAGAAGGCTTGCTCTTGACATCTAACACTGCCATCCTTTGTCCTGTCAGAAACAATTAAAAAAACAAACAGAAAACCTTGGCTCACTAATGTCGGTTTAGCTGCAGAAGAAAGAAAGAGGAAACATCATAGGAACGAAGACAATTTTCTATTGCTTTGTACATCTTCCATGAGTACTTCCACCCCCCTCCCCCCCAAACAATTAGAGCATGGTTGATACCAGATAAAGCTTCAAAAAAAGTTTCTCCTGGGAACCTGCAACTGTGACTGTCACATTGTCTCTGTCACATCATTATTCAAATTTACTCTTGCAGTTTCAATAACATGATAAGGATTGCTTTCATTTGTTTTTCTTTTGGTAGAAAATAGTTTTATTATGCTTAGCAGTGCATGAAAGATGTTTTTATCAAAATGGTACAATAGTCACTTTATTGCAGAGCAGGGAATGTGTGCCAGTATGCCAGGAGCTCATCATAAAGTTTAGCATTGAGAGAGATACTTTATTGAAGGATCTAACGAAGATTCTTAAGGAAGAATCTAAAGCTTGCAATTTTGCTGTAACTGGTAGTGGTAGCTTGTGTAATAACTTCCTGTTGTTCTCTGGCATGTTAACTTCTCTGTTTATAGTGACTTGACAAAAAATTATTGACTGATTCTTATTCTTTCAGTTACTGTTAAACTTCTAAATAGAATTCTAGCAATTGCTGTACCTGAGAATTGACACATCCTGTTTTCAAAAAAGATTAGGAGCTAATCATGAAATGTTCACGTTTCATCATTTTGTCTGCCTTGCTGAATAATTGTTTTCTGTAGGGGCTCTTAAACACACAAAACACATGATTCTGTTCATAGACAGACAGTATTACCAGAGGCAGGGAATATTTTGCTTGTCTCAAGATCCCAGAGTTCAATTACATAGTACTTTTGAGAAAAATCTTTAAAGGTTCCCCAGGTGAACAAATGCTAATGCTGTACTTACAATTTTCAGTTATTTTTCATTGGAAGTTGCAGATGTTGGTATTGATTCATTGGGAAATTACAGGTAGTGCTCAGCTCTGCAACTCACTGCAAGTGAGTAGTAGTTGCTGTTTATACTCTGGAAGCAATAAAATTCATTTGAAAGAGGATTTCAGAACTTGAATAGTAAACATGCAGTCTTTACTGGCGTCATTAACTGAAAGTGATTTGTGAATTAAAATTAATTAAAATTAGGGAGAAATTTCAGTGCAAAGAAAGGCATTCTGAAAGAAGAAGCCAGCATAAAGGTGATGAGAATAATATTTGGCTTCTAACTTGGAAACTGCAATTTCAACAGCTCAAAAAACCTTAATCCCATATTGTACTATAAACTTTGAAAGTAGCTTCTTTTACCAGAATGAAACACTTTGTTGTCTTCCTGTCTATGTAGTTCTGGGATTCTCCTGTTTTTTTCTTTTGTCTTTTAAGAAAATAACGTACACAGACAAGATTTGGTTAATTACCAACAAATGATGGGGAAAAAAAAAAAAATCAGTACCTTATGAATTCAGAAAGTACTACTTTAAACAAGTCTGAGCTGCATGAATCTGTCCCATCAGTATATTCTACATAAATTTCAGGTTGAAATATCTTCTCTTAATCTATTCTCATTATTTTTCCACATTCCTTATTTTCCTTCTTTCACTTCTAACAGAGAACTGTACCTTCTAAATAAACAAAGCCAAAAGCATTTGATACTTTCAGAGCTGCCCTAGTAACTGTTTACTCTGAATTTTATCCTGGCTTTCTTCATGTTTTTCTATATATTTGACATATCACGTAAATAGTTAATTTCAGTAATACATGTTTTGAAATACTGATTTAAAAGTAAGTGTGCTATAAGTTAGTCTTAGACGATAGGGAGAAAGGATTTAAGTTAGGTAGTTGTTCTGTTGCCTTTCTACATGGCTTATGAGAAGTTTTAAACCAGAAATCTCTAATAGCTTGAATCTACGTTATTTTGTGGTAAAAATTTGTTATGATACTTTAGTGTTTCAATACATCTCAATGTTTTCTTAGATCATCTTAGGCTTTCACTTAATAGTGACATTATAAACCTTGCATTAAATTGTGTGTGTGACATTTGACGTTTTTTGTACTAATCTATAGGCAACAGTTAAATCGAAGAAAGCTACAGATACCTATAAACTGTATGTGGAGAAATACGCTGCAGTTAAATCTGATTTTGAACAAAAAATGACAGAAACTGCACAAGTAAGTGTTGTATTAAATGAGGTGCTTTTGAAATAGATTCATATGTTCTGTTTTATCTCTCTGAAGATATCTGAAAGGAAAGCTTTTGAAGAATTGTTTAAAATAAAATGATCTCCTCTGGAAATTGGTGTAAGCTGTCAAAAGTAATAGGCTTGAAAGACAAACAGTGGCAATGTGTATTTTGATGGAAGTGTTCTTGAATGATGCACTGGAATACTAGCACTCCCGAGAGAATTTCTGAACAAATTTTTAGTGAGAAAAGAAGATGAGCTTCTGAAACTATTGTAGATGCATTGTGATCAGACAGAAAATCCTTCGAATTACTTTGAATTACTGGAATTCATTCATAGGAGATATAATATTGGGACCCATCATGTTTTTCTTGTTATCATTCTGATGAAATATTTTAGTAACTGCTTGATAAAGTAGCCCCTTAGGGGTTTAGCTGAGGTGGTCAAAAACCCTTACTTCATTCCAACATCAAAGAAGTATCTAGAATTTTAAGGAGTTTCACTGTATTACAGAGGATGTTGAGTTCTCTATATGTTTGCTCTTGCTGCTGCTTGTTAAAATTTCTTCTCCAAATCTCTTGATAGTAGACATTTTTTCACTGTCACAGATTTCAGAAAACATTACTTACCATTTCTGCTCTTAGTAATATTTATTTGACATATATTTACTTGTTTCTTTGTTCTTCTCCTTAGTTTCCAAGTTTAATTTTTAGGCATGGATGAAAATATAAGGGAAGTTAAGTCATACTTGTATTACAAATGTAGAAGTAGAAAAATGTTAGTATTTTCCTGAACTTCTTAGAAATTAAGATTTTACACTAAGAAGATATGTGTATCCTGACATATCAAAAACTCTATTCTTCTAAATTACAAACCACTTTGCTGCTTTGAAAACTTTGTTAGAACTTGCTCTTATTGGTATCTGAATAATTATTCAACAGATGTTACAGAAAGGATACCAAAGGATACCAGATATAATCAGAATTGTTCACTACAACCCACCATCTAAAAAAAGTAAATGAGAAGTAACTCATTCTCTGCTGTTCCAGTGCAAAATCAGTTAAGTTGTCCTAGGCAGTTCAGATAAAATTATTCTTAAAGCACCAGCATCTTGAATTGCTGTAGCTTTGTTCTAGGTAATCCGGTAGTAATGTCCTCACTTAGATGTCCTGTGCTCTTAGTCAGTCTCCACTAAATTTCTTGTGTAAATTTTATGTATTTTTCCCTTGCGTCATTTATTATCTTTTCTGTTAGTGTAAAAGTAAAGTGACTTGTACTGCATGATTTTGAGAAGTTGAATTGTAAGTTGTATTTTGTGCTGGAATAAACATGGAAGATTGTATTGCGATTACAAGGGGATAAGAATATGGTTTGGTTTGTCTAGAAATTGAATTTTACAGATATTCTTCACGTTGAAAGATCTTTTTTCTGAGTAAAACTAGTTGTATTAAACAATTGCTCTGCAACTGCAAAGAAAAAATGGCATCTCACCTGCCACCTTGTTACAAGCTTTTTTTTAAACATTGCATTTTTAAACACTTAAACACGTTGCATGGTCTATGGGAAACAATGAAAATAGCTGGAATTGCTAACTCATTTTTCTTTGACACCCTTCTGTCTTAGCTAGAATTGAATACAGCTGATTGTTTAAACAACTTCAGTGTAGAGCAGTCTGCATGTAAATAAAGTTCAAGAGCAAGTATTAATTCTTCATATTGTAAAACTTAAAGAAAAATGTTTACAACTTAGGAAGACTGTGTGCTGAATTGGACAATTACAGATACTGTCAAAGTTTTTTTCATTTTTCTTGTAGTGTGACTTTCACTCGAGTCTTAGCATTACAGATATGCTTCACTATATCCTTTCAAAACAGACTGTTCTTTCAAAAGTGCAAATAAACAATTTGGTTAATGACTGTTAATGATTCTACCTATGATATGAATTATATAGTCGTATTACAGTGTTTGGATAGTCCTTGATCAGAACGTTTGTGTTAAGTAATTACAAGGCTAAGATGCCTTCTCCTTCAAAGGCTTAAATTATTGAGCATCAAGTAGTAAATAAGAAAGAGGGAGCTGTGTGAGGTGTGGGGAGCAGGAATAGGCAAAGATCTCTGAATGGCCAGTTGTTTTGATACGCATCATAGAGAAATATTTAAAGGAGAACTGTAGTCAGTTTTACTGAGTGTCATGTGGATCTCTAAACAAGCACGAAGGAAGCAGCATTGACACAGTCTCAAAAATTCACTTTGAGTTTAGGTAAGTATTTGGTATAGAAGCAGGCTGGAAAATCACGTTATATTCAAGTGCTGATGCCCTGATCATGACTGAGAATAGATATTATAGACATGGGCCATGGATAGCTTGGAAAGCAGGACAGTGTAGTTTGTCTTGCTAGGCATTCAATAAAAGTAGAGACATCATAAAATGGGCTACGGAGAATGACCATGTTTTCTGTAATCCAGAAGGGAAGCTGCTGGAAAAAAAGTGTTATTTTAATCTGCTTCATTGATGGCTAGAGGCATATAAGTGTGGCAAAAGAAAAACCGAGTTTTTAGAAGGTAGAGATATATAATTTGTCTGTTTAGAATGATGCTTTCATTTGTGAATCAGAGTACAGGGAGGTAGGAAATGTAAAGAGAGAATCTTCAGAGAACCCTGTAAAATAGAAGAGACGAATTAAAGGTGCTCAAAGTTTGGGTGTGCTTGAAAAGACAACTAGGGAAATAGGAATGAAAACAGTAGAATAGAGATCAGGAGTGAAGAAAGATTAAAAGGTGATTATGGTTCACTGTTAGGGAGGATTTGAACATTTTTCTTTTTGAGCTGTAGCTAGGAGTGGGCTGTTAAAGATCATAGAATCACCAAGATTGGAAAAGACCTTCAAGGTCATCCAGTCCAACTGTCCAGCTATCAGCAATATTTTCTACTAAACCATGTCCTTCAATACAACACCTGAATGTTTCTTGATCATCTCCAGGGATGGTTACTCCACTACCTCAATACAGGAGGTATGTGGGCCTTTTGGAGCACATCCAGAGGAGCGCCACAAAAGTGAGCCAAGGAATGGAACACTTCTATGAGGGTAGGCTGAAAGAGCTGGGGCTGTTCAGCCTTGAGGCTCTGAGATGACCTGATAGCAGTGTTTCAATACCTGGAAGGGAGCTATAGGAAAGAAAGGGACAGACTTTTTAGCAGGATCTGTTGTGAAGAAAGCAAGGGGAAATAGCCTCAAACTCAAAGAGGGTAGAATAAGGTTGGATAGAAGTAAAATGCCTTCTACTGTGAGGGTGGTGAGGCACTGGAACAGGTTGCCTGGAGATGTGATTCATGCCCTGTCCTTGTAGACTTTGAAGGCAAGGCTGTATAAGGCCCTGGGCTACCTGATTTAGCTGTGTATGTTCCTTTTCATTGCAGAGGAGTTGGAGTAGATGACCTTTAAAGGCCCCTTTCCACTCTTAATGTTTCTATTATTCCAGTGCCTGACCACTCTTTCAGAGCTTTTTCTTAATGTTCAGCCTGAATCTCCTCTGGCACAAGTTGAGGCCATTTCCTCCAGTCCTATTGCTAGTTACACGGGAGAACAGACCAGCCCCCACCTCACCACAGCCTCTCTCAGCAGTTGTAGATAGCAATAAGATCTCCTGTGGTGCTCGTCTTCTCCAGACTGAACAATCCCAGCTCCCTCAGCCGCTCCTCATAAGACTTGTGCTCCAGAGCCCTCACCAGCTTTGTTGCCCTTCTCTGAACACGCTGCAGGCCCTCGATGTCTTTCTTGCAGTGAGGGGCTCAAAACTGAGCACACTACTTGAGGTGCAGCTTCACCTGAGCTGAGTGCAGAGGCCAACGACTTCCCTGCTCCTGCTGGCAACACTACTTCTGATCCAATCCAGGATGCCACTGGCCTCGTTGGCCACCTGGACATGCTGCTGGCTCATGTTCAGCCAAGTGTTGACCAGCACCCCCAGGCCATTTCTTCTACACAGTCTTCCAGCCACTCGGCCTCAAGCCCACAGCACTACTGGGATTTGCTGTGCCCAAGTGCAGGACGTAGCGCTTGGGCTTGCTGAGCTTCATCCCACTGGCCTCTGCCCAGACCCCCTTGTTGTACCTTCCTGTCCTCAGGCAGATGGACGCTTCTTCCCAGCTCAGTCACCTGCAAACTTACTGAGGGTGCATTCAGTGCCCTCATTCATCAATAAAGATACTGAACAGGACAGGCCCCATTACCAACCCCTGGGGAAAGCTGCTCATGACTGGTCACCAGCTACATTTAACGCCATTCACCCCCACTCTCTGTGCCTGGCCCACCAGCCAGTTCTTTACCCAGCAAACAGTGTACCTGTGCAAGCCACAGGCTGCCAGCTTCTCCAGGAGAATACTGTGGGCGACAGTGTCAGAGGCTTTATTCAAGTTCTAGGTAGATTACAGCAGCAGCCTTGTCCTCATCTACCAGATGGGTCACTCAATCACAAAAGGAGATCAGATTGGTCTAGCAGGACCTGGCTTTCATGATCCCATGGTGGCTAGGCCTGATCCTCTGTGACCTCCCTCAAGATGATCTGTTCCATAATCTTCCCTGGCACTGAGGTCAGGCTAATGGGCCTGCAGTTCCTCAGATCCTCCTTACTATTCTTCTTGTTGATGAAAGTCACTGACACGTCTCCAGTTCTCTGGGACCTCTCCAGTTGACCAGGAATGCTGACAGAGGGTAGAAAGCAGCTTGGTGTAGATGCCCTTCAGCTGAGCTCCTTGCCTCACCTTTAATCCCATCATCATTCCCCTAGGCTTATCTCTAGCAGGCCTGGTGTAATACACTTCTCCTTCATAGCTAGTTTAAAGCCTTCTCAGCAAGTACTGCCAGCTCCTGTATGAAGATCTATTTCCCCCTCTGAGACAGGTGAGACCCCTCAGCAGACATCAGGCAGGTGTCGAAAAAGCAGCCCCATGGTAAAACAAAACAAGATTCTTGTGATTGCTCTAGCTTCTCAGCCATGTATTTATAAGAAGGGTTTTCCTTGTCCTCGTGGTATTGCTCCCTGCTACTGGAGAGATAGAAGAAAGCATGACCTATACACCCACCAACAGCCCCAATCCCCTGAAATTCTTTTTTAAGGTCCTCAGAAAAGAAAATGTTTGAAGTGCTTTTAAAATGGGTGTCAGGTAGAAATCTAGATATGGTGGAACAGCAGAAAAAATTGCAGACAAACTGAGAAGGTTGCATGTAGTCAATTTAAAGATCAAATGAATGAAGCAAAGTTGAAGCAGAGGAGTTAGATTTCACTGAAGGAAACAATAAGAAACATATCTGTTGGGACCAGGAGGAGAATGAGGGTGCTGAGGAGGTGCAAAACAATCTGGAAATAGAATCTCTGAAATCAGATGAAAAAGCAGATGAAACTTTTTGGTAATGCAAATAACAGAGAAAATACATTTTTTTAAAACAACCATCAGTCCTATTTCTTTTTAGAAAAAATAGGTCAGATCTTTTGAAACACCAAGATAGTTGAAAGTTTAAAAAGTGGAAAAGCTTGGTAATGGTTCCAAAAGGGTATATTTAAAGAAACACTTTATTTTACTATTCTTTGGACTTTGCACCTTCTATTGTTAAACATTACAATAACTGTGGTAATGATCTGAAAAAATAGTTGGTTGTTTTTTAAAATAATTTATTATTATTATTATTTTAATAATTTATAAAGAATATTTAATTATTGTAATTTAAAGCTTAACATTTCAAGAAAAAATTTATTACCAATAATGACTTGTATTGGTTTACAGAAGTTTCAAGATATTGAAGAAACACATCTACTGCATATGAAAGAAATTATAGAATCATTGTCAAATACCATAAAGGATATTCATTTACAAATAGGAGAGGTAATTTTTATGTTATCATTTGTTTATTTGGCTTAAGCTATGTATTTTTTCTTAACCACTGAGCAGAACAGTCCTTACTGTGTTGTGGATCACATCTTTAAAACAGCAGTAAGCTTTTAAACCATACGAAGATAAATAATAATAAAGCAGAGGATTTAAAATACTTTAAAGCAATTTTGGTTCTTTTTACCAAATATATGAAACGTGAATGTGTGCTGAACTCAGTTTTCATCTGTTTGAAGGAAATTTGAATGTCAAATAGCCATTGAGATATTTTGAGATCTGTGTATTTTCTTATTCAAGCATTTCTGAAATTTCTTACTGAGTGGATCACCTCTGATTTTGTTTATTGTCCTGGAAATCTATTTTGTGTCTGAATCCAGCATGAACCAAAAACGTTGTGGCTTTCTGTTTCATGTGTAAGTTTGGGATCACAAACTTCACAGTATTCTCTAAAAACTTCCTAGGCTGAATGATCAATCATTGATTGAGTTTAATGCTAACAAAACAGAGATTTGGTTAGAGATTTTGATGATTTGAAGAATGTTTAGTGTATTTCTAAGTCTTGTTCACTAGATACTAAATCAGCAATCACACATTTTCTTTGCCTAAAACTTGAAATTGTATCAGTCAAGAGCTCCAAAATGTTTTATACAACTAGGTTTTTGTGTGCAAAAGGCCTTTGGTTTTAAAAGGAGCTTTTTAGTATGTTTTCTTTAGTTGCAAATTTTTTTAACTAATAATCCTTATTAAAAAATCTACATTCTTATGCGTTGCGGTGCAAGTTTATTTGAGTGCTCTTCATTTGAGTCTGGTTTTTTTTTTCAGTATTCAGATTTTGCTCATGAATGGTAGTCACAAGGGTCATGTTATTTATTTCTAAGGCAAATACGTACTGCCTTGCTTGAAAAACTTATTAACAGCATGTGGTTGTTTTTTTGCCAGACCAAAAACATTAAAACAGTAGTGCTTTTACTGAAGCAGGTGGGACGTGTGATAATACAGCAGTAACTGTTCACACCCTCAACTGGTGCTGGCTTAAGGGACATCTTGTCTTCCTGACATTGTATGGAACATGTTGTTGACAAATTCAGAAAATGGTATGTAGACAAGTAGCTTAGATAGAAGAGGTAGAAGTAAATCCTATACCTGCCATCTAGCTATATTCTTTCATTCCCCGTTGGTGTCTGTATTGTACACAAATTTGCAACTCCTAAAACAATAAAGGGATTTCCTTGATAAAATGCCTGCTAATTTCTGGAAGTTCTTTATTGTATTTTATAAGAAAATATTATGATATTAAAGCTAGTGTTAAAACTAAACACTACTTAAAGTAAAAAGTTATAGTAATTAAAATAATCTAATTAAAACTCCCATTGTGTGGGGGGTTTTGTTGTGTTTGCTTTTTTTTAAGGTACATGAAGAATTTATAAATAACATGGCGAATACTACAGTTGAGAGTTTAATACAGAAATTTGCTGAGTCAAAAGGAACTGGCAAGGAAAGACCAGGTAAGAGATCAAATATGACAGAGAAGGAAATGTTAATTTAAAAGCTGTAGATTTCCACCCGTAACAAAAAGTCAAACTCTATTCGTGAAGTGTTATTGCTGGAAGGTTCTTATATTTTGAATTCTCAGAATTTATTCTCTTTGATGTTAAATGTTTCAGAGAAATTTGATAGCACATTACTATGCATTTGTAGGGCTTATGTTCATAAGGCATGGCAATTTGTAGCTCTGAGTCTCTCAGTGAGGCTTCTTTGAGGAAGCTTTTAAACTGCCCTGTTCCTTGATACAAACTTCTTTGTGCTGTATGCCTCTGCATAAAATTTATTTCAAAAATGTGATCCAAATTTACTGATAGATTCAGAACAGATGTGTGTGAAGTTGGTTATAAAACTTCATAACCGTTGGTCTGGTTTCTTTGGTTAGCTTATAAAATCATGCTTTTTAATAGGTTATATTTTGGTGATTTGTTTCTTTACCTCGTATCAGATTGAGTAGTACTTTCTGAAAATATTGCTAGTTTGATGGGTTGTATAAGGCTTTTCTCAGCTGGGAATAAAGACAATCTCTCCAAACTGTGCATGTAACATTATAGGAGAAACACTGAGTTCCGCTCAGTTTTCAGACTGTGTATTTGGTCACTAGTTGTGTGAGCACAGGAATTCAGTTTTGTTGTGCTGAGAGTCCTGTCCGGCATCATCAGTTTTTTTCAGAGCAGGGATGTGCACAACAGTTTGTATTTTGAGCATTTTTACCAACTGTTGAATATGGTGACCAGAAACAATGTTGTTTCATATTCACTCTGTGATGCCGATATGCCAGTGGGCTGAGGTAAGACTGTGTGTGGAACAATTCTCAGATGTTTCCCGTGAGTCTTGTAACTTTTAGATAAAGAATAGCAAAGAAAAAGTACGTGCTTCAGGAGTTCATGTACAGTTGGACTGAGGTTAAGATAAAGGTGAATGTTCAGTATTGAAGCCCGTTTGAGGAGCTGTGGTGATGTCATGCTTTGGCTGTCTTGCATTCAGGAACATGACTCCCTGGGTTATAAAGACCTGTGCTAACGTATTTCAAACCATACATGTTGTTAGTGTGTTTTTCTGTAGGACAACGTAACAATCATAGGCAAAGTAGAACTTTATTTCTTAATTTGGTGGGAGAGGGAAGCTGCACATGCTGTGTGGCGTATTTGCTGCTTTGTAGATTTCGTCAAATGCCGTTTGGATTCTCCTGAGTCAAATAAAAGCATTTGCTGTGGCAAATGTCATTTTTTCAATTAGTATTTTAAGGTGGGAGCATATTTTTACTGTGGAAACATTTGTATGCACCTTGAATTTTATTTATTTATTTATTTATTTTACAGAGTGAAATTGTTTTATTTATACCAACCTTGTTGCAGGGGGAAAATATTATCTAAAGAATCTAAATTCTAAATCTAAATGTTAGAAATAGGAGACTGGAAGCACAAGCTGCTATTGCTAAATTGTAGTCATGTAATTCAGAGAATGAAACAGAAACATCCAGTGGGGGAGGGAATGCGTTTTCTTAGTTCAAAACATGTTTTTCCACAAGTTAGTGCTTTCTTAGTAGAAAGGTATTTTAACCCATGGAGCAAATACTGTAATTCTTTCCGTGATGTGTTACTTTGGAAAAGGAGAAGTCTTTTCAAAGTATTCACTGTGTAAGAATGATAAAGACTCAGAGCACAGCACAAATGTCGAAAACAAGCCTTACGTCAGTTGCTTTTATGATTCTGGTCCTGAGTAGTGATGAAAGGAATAATTTAATAGTCTCCGGTAGTATGTAGGCATTCTCTATCCAATATTATTTTGAAGTACTGAATTAGTTGGTGGAACACATTCTGAGATACTGAATATTAGAATAAATGTTATGCTTAATAAAACATTTTAGTTTATTTCAGTATATCGTACTGGTAATTACAGTACCTTATAGCAGAGTTCACTTTCCTATTTCTGCAGATACAAGTACAAATACGAATCTAAGAGGAAGTACTATAGGTGGCTGTTCTATTGTGTGAATTATAAACAATTTATAATTTTTTTTCTGACAATTACGGTCTTAAATTCTCATCAGCATATATGTAATTTCTCATTGTGTGATCATGTCCCTTATACAGGATTATGTGGGCTCCCTCTGGTGGCTGATTTCTGTTATCTGAAGTCTTAATATGCAGAGACTGAAAGAGTTTAATGCACTGGTTTCTCAGTCCAAACATCATTTCTCTCTAACAGTAATACTTTGTGAGTTTTTTGAACTTGTTTATGGACTTCCTTAGAAAGACTTTTTTTTAATTGTTACCTAAGCAGCTTGTCCAGTGAGCTTTATCACCTAATTCTTTCTTAATCTACTTCAAATTTATTTTAAAAAGAGCACAGTATCTGAAGTTCTATTTATTATTTGTTTTCTACTCTTATTCAGTGTTAAAACGTTGAGTTGCACATTTTAAAATTTAAATTATAAGAAAAATCACTTCAGTATAAAACTTTGATGAAGAGAGAGAAATGTCAGGACCTCCAGTAAGCAGTCAGACTTGTGTTCAGAATTTAATACATTTTCTGAAGTTTATTTGTTCCTACTATTAGGCCTAATAGCAGATTTGAAGTTGAACTCAGTTGGAAGATATTTTTGTCTTGCACTGTTTATCAAAACCGTTGCTGCCTGCTTTACATGAATCTATTTTCCATTTGAGATAAACTGCTGGTTCGTGTTCTTTGGAAAATTTGTTCATGACATGTGAGAAAATGTCTGTTTTCAACTAGATGTTAAATTGATACTGGGAGTCTATGTAAATTCCATATTTGTGGAATGTATTTATCCCACAAATAATATATTGTGCCAGATTTGTGATATATCATTGACTTCATTTACTTAATATGCTTATCTTCTATAAGAATATTGGTTTGTTCCAGAAGCAGAAGCTTCTAGGAAGCATGATCTCATATTCTTTCCAGATTTTTTGTCCAAAATTGTCAGGATAATACATACTATGTGTAAAGATAAAGTCTGTATAGTTGTAGCTAGTCATGAATGTTTTTCCATTTTTATACTGCTCTCATTCGTACAAAACTGACTGCATATGTTTGTGCCTGTATTAGATTTTGCTCACTACATATTTTACCCAGAGACTCGCTTTGAGAGCCAAAAGACAAGACAGCTGTACTGCATTGTCCAAACAAAAGCTAAATTTAGCTTTCTTTCATTGGTTTATTCTGATCTTATTGTTAGCAGTTGTTGGTAGTTTATTGAGTTATTGTTCTTATTTTTGCAATTTTCTTAAAACTGAATAAAGAGAAAAACAAGAATTGTATTGTAATGCAGACAACAATGGAAAGCCAAAATCCTTGCTGGCTGCATAACCATCCAATAAAATTATCCACAGATGGCAATTACTACATATGCTGTGCTGTTACTTAGGGTGAGAGAGGTGCTCATCTCTTCACTATAAAAAAGAAATATTAATTGGTCCTCTACTAGTTTGTGCCATCTTGCTCAAAGTCAGAATTAGCTTGAACATGATTTTCTTTCCAACTCTGTGTCCTAACCCATGTGAGCAGGCAGTGAAAATCTGACAATGAGAAATCAGCCGCTTACACATTGTGCTCTAACTCTTCCAGCATAAACATCTAGAATTTATTCTGTGAAAAAAGCAAAGTCTATAAAGATACTTCTCATCTGTAAAAATACTTCTTTCACTTACTATTCACCCAATAAACTAGAACTGAGGAGGGATTAGAAATCTGCATTTCTGAAGTATTGTAAATTGGTGCCTGCAATCCGTCCATTCTTTCTACAGAAGTAATTGAGAATATTCCCTGTCCACAGTTGCTGTGGATCAGCCATCACTGGCTCTTGCACATTTTCCTTGTCCCACTCGTCATTTTAGACACTGGCAATAACAACCTAAGTTCTTTTAATTAAATGATTCTTCCATAGATAACAAGATTCAGAAAGGTCAGACTTGTTGTCTTTGCTCCTTTTTCTTCCTTCAGCAGTGCCAGAAACTCCAAATTTGGGCAGTAATTGAACAGTAATCTGAGTAAGTTAATGTTTGATGTGTATCTTTTTGGAACTAGTGAAATCTATTTTGCTTTATTTACCACTGCAGAAAAAAAAGTTCTTTAGCTTCCTGGATCTTAAAGTTCCTGGTTACTCCAGTCATCAGGAAGTTTAAGTAGCAAATGTAGACATTAATTCAGGCTACATATATTTTTAGAAATCATTTTGAAATTTGCCTCTCAGGGAAGGCTTTCAAGTAGTGTAGAGTGACTTATTACAGCTATCATGGCAAAATTATTAACACCACAAACGGTGGAGAATATCAGAAGTGTGTGTTTGCCAATGTGCTGGTGATCCTTGCCTGATCTGGGAGCTCTGATTCTGGAGCGTTAGCCAAGTTTGTATCTTAAAGTCTTAAAAAAAGTAATCATTTATTTAGGTATGCTGCTCCTGCTGGAAGCATTGTGGGAATTTCAGAGACTACAAAACTGTTGACAAACCATTATGTTTACTGCTTGGATTGTAATCAAAGCAGTTTAATCTGGATTCCTTACAAGCTCATTATTGCCGCTGGCATTGCCTGTTACCAGAATTGTACAGCATCAAAGCTTCAATTTAGTAAACATTTAAAAAACAAATTTTACATAGGCTTTAATTCAACTGATTCAGTTAACTGAACTGGGTTGTAGATCGTTTGATGTTTTATGTTGCTGTCTATTGGCTACGGTGGAGATTAGTGCAAAGCTTAAGTGGAGTTTATGACATGCTATTAGGCCTTCAGCAATTGCTTACATGGACATTTTAAACCTAGATGCCTGTGAAGCACTACCTAGTTATTTTTTTCACAGTGATTGCAGAGTATTGAAGTGAGTTGAACTAGAGCTGCAAAACTAGTGCAAAGTAATTGAGCATTAATTGAGCATAGTATAAATGCAGAGTTTTGCTAACTTCATATTAACATTAGGTTAGTATTTTGTGTTAAACTAC